GGATACCTATAGAATCGCCTTCGTCTTACCAAATAAACTGTTAATACTATTCTTTAAACATAATAAAGTTAAAGAGAATCAAGGAAAATATTTATGAAGTTTTATAAAGAGTGGTAAAAATTTATGTAATTATAAGATGGAGTCTACAAACTAATTTAATTCATGGAAAGAATGACATGTGTTTATATATAAAAATATATCTGTAATTTGTTGCTGACATTTTGATGACAAAAACTTATACTTGGAATGGTATTGGCGTGACTTAAATAAATTTAAAAAAGAGTTTTAAGGGAAGATTATGTTTTTATTTCTATCAAATTATTTTTTTAATATAAGCTTTAAAAACAGCCGCCTTCAATCAAAAATATTTTATATTTGTAGTTCAACTTTTTCAACAATCAACAAGGTATCGTTGTAATAGTGTGAGATGTACGTAGCTTCCACACACTATTGTGATTGAAATCTTAATTAATTTTAAAAATCCAGATGACTACTTAATCCGAGTTTAAAGTTACATCATTTTCACTTCTTTAGTAAACACGTCATCAAACGATAACTTTTTTTATGAAATACAAACAAAATACATATAAACGTTTTTCCTTATACATAAGAGTACTATAATAATATACCTACGAGTGTGTATATGCATACCTGCATATACCTACATGTAAACATACTTGAATTTTAAGGTAAAACGAAGAATTCCATTAAAATGTAATCGTTCTGTTCCTTTTTTCCAAATAAATTTATGCATTTTGTTAAATAATGTTTTTGTTTAATATATATTTAGCGATGTTTAATAAAAGTTGATCAACACATAGCCATAGTTTCCAACAGCCAAGTAAGTTTATTTTGCACATCATTCTGATTTCTACCTGAGTACAAAACAAAGATTAAACAAATGATATCGTTTATATACAATATAAAAAAGAACGAGAACTTCTTAGAAGAAGTTGCCCTACAACACAACTACAACCATTTTCACAGTTTTGTGTAGTACATTAGTAACCTAAACATTATTTAATCAATTTTCAGAGTCGTTGTTTGTAAGTTCAAGTTGAATACTCTTAATTCCTTCTCATTTTTACTGTGGCATAATTTTTATTGTAACTTTATTTTATGGTCGTCACCTTATCAATCTTCACATTCACACACTTAACGCATTGCATATCAAAATCCCTTATTTTCTAACAGAAATTGTAGGTATTTACTTTTGTAAATGTTATTTCTCTTTTAAGTACGAGGCATGCCTCCTGGCAAATATTTTAAATATTCTACATGGGTTGTTAAAAGTTGTCCAATGCTCGGAAAATATTATAGACATCGGGGTGTTACGTCGAAAGTGATAATTATACAAAAAATAAATAAAGAAAAACTGAGGAAATTTTAGAGGTGGAGAAAAACAACGAAAACATTGAATGTAATTTGTATAAAAATTACTATTTATTAAGGACGATAGAAAACTATATTTCGTCCTTTATAATATTGCAGACAATAAATAAAAGCTTAAACGAAAGGGCAATTTGAATACAGTAATATTTTTAATTTACTTATGTACATATTTTACTTATTTAAAAAACGAATACTGTTAAATTCTCGTAAAATTTGCTCATTATAAATGTCTAGTACAATTGGCATTTAACATTTTGAGGTAAATGACAAATTGCTTCAAATAAAATTAGAAACAAAAGAAAGTTTGAAACGTTAATAATAATCGACAAACTTATATCTATAGTTCCATATTTTGTCGTAATGAACGTAAAGGGGGTTCAGAAAATTTATAATATGTATCATAAATTTCATTCCAGAAGCTACATCTCTCTTCCAACAATGCTCCTTTTATTTCAGGATCCTTCTTAAGAACCATGTGTGGAGATCCATTTGGACCAGCAGCAGGCCACATCGGAGTACCTGCAGCTGTAGGCTTTCTGTGAATATGAACGAAATCACAACATTAGATATTTTGTTAATTGAGAAGTTACATTGAGGGTTGTATTCTTCACAACTTTCAAACTAACAACCACACAAATCAAACAAAATAATAATACTGATCTGTCAAAAAAATGCAGGATAAGATATAAAATAATTTACATTTGAATAAACTATGTAATTCAACATATCAAAAATTTTTAATTGTAATTTAATAAAAATTGAAATTAGTTTCAATTTAAATATATTAAAATAATATTTTAAAAACGTACCCATTCTTTATAAAATTTCCCCAAAGCTCCCTCACAACACTCCTCATTTTAACAAAATCTTCTGTAGGATTATTTTTTGTCAAGGACGAATCGAGGTTGTCGAGGACGGCATAACTTTGCGCACAATGAGTTGCTCCGCGTACATCAGTGTGGGGTACAACTGGAGTATATTCGTCCGTGTAAGAATATTCATACAAGTATATTTCATTGTGTCCTGCTTTTACTAAATAATTTACAACTCTTAATGCGGGACATATAAAATATCCATCCGACCTGTAATCTATATATTGTAGAATAGCATTGTCGTCTAATTCACTATCACCAAAATAAAACTCTTTAATTTTATTAGCTACTAAAAGTTTTTCTTCTTCGCTTTTAAATTTTAAGTTGGCCGGTAAGAAATCAGCAAAATTTTCGTTCATTTCGTTTTTCCACAAATCGAATAATTCTATCAGCATTAGCCCCTCCATATTAGCAAATCCATAAAGCATGGGTAGTTTCGGAAAATCACTTCGTTTTAAAATATTTAAAGGATCGTCCGTAAGAAACGCCTCTTGTCCATTATCTCTTTCTATACAAGGAGCAAAAAGAAATGTAAAATCTTTTCTGTATGCAAGGATTCCTGATTGTAAAACTTCATACGATACTTTTTTGAAACTATTTTCCATTTCTAATATATCGGTAATATTTTCTATACCTATGACCTTTGCATATTCTTTTGCATTCTGTATAGGATCAACTTGAATACTGAAAGGAGAAGTACTAGCACCACTCTCCGGAATAACCTTATGAAATAGTCCTTCAGCCATTTTTGACAACATTAAAAGATCTACTGATATTGACCCTGCACTGTATCCAGCTATTGTGACGTCATTTGGGTTACCTCCAAAGCCCGCAATATTTTTTTTTACCCATCGCAGCAGTGCCACTTGATCTTTTATACCAGCGTTACCGGGCACGCCTTCAGTACCTAAGCACAGGAACCCGTGTGCTCCTAATCTATAATTAAATGTTACTGCTAGAACGGTTTGGCTGCTTACTAATTCCTTTGGTGTAAGAAAAGTGCCAAATCCTAATAAAAATGCACCGCCATGTACGTATACAACAACTGGAAGGTTTTTTTTGTGCGTCTTAGGTACGTATACATTTGCAACCAGACAATCCTCTTTCATAATCTTCGTGTCCGGAATATATTCCTTTACATTTAATTGAGGACATATGGTTCGGTCATCTACTGCTTCAAATATTGACATCCAAGCTGGTGGAGGTAGAGGGCCCTGAAATTATAATAATAATGTACAATGATTAAGAATATATTACCTACATATAAATATACACACATATACGTACATACATATGTATATTAAGAAAAATTACAATATAACACACATACATAATTAACTGGGAGATGAAAATCTCTCGAATAATTTATCACATGCTCACATTCACACCATATCCGATCACCTTCAAAACACTTTATTTGAAGGATTATAAAAAATCACCATAAATAAATTATTTTGTATTTCCTATTTCCTCATATGTTTTTTCTTCTCAGACTCATCTTTGTCTATTATTATCAGCACTTGTAAGAGAGAATTACTGTAAAGATTATTTTTGTAATTTTTTACTTTAAATTTAAAAAATGTTTGGAAATTTAAAATAATAGTAATAAGATCGTAGTTAGATGTGTACTCTGGAAAATCTCCAGAAAATCCCCCTTTTATTTTATTTACAGAAAATTTACTTAAACTACTAAAACTATTAAAAATAAATTGAAGGAGCATTTTCCAAACGACGTCGAGTGTCATTTCATTAAAAGGGACATGATTATTTTATCTGAAAATACATAGTACTGCAAGGAAAAAACTTATATTTTTTTCTCGCCATCGGAAAATAGAGAATTCAACGACCAGAAAACACACCAAATTTTTGAAAAAAGCTAATATTTTGATGGGTGATTTTTTGATTGAAAATGAGGCTGATTTTTCGATATTTATTCAAAATTTATCTGAAAAAGAAATATTTCTAATCAAATAAATTACAGTGTGTTTGGGACATCGAAAGGTAAGTTTTCGCCTAATTTGGTGACAAAATATTGTTTTTGTAAGAGATAAAAACAAAAACTAAAAGCGCGGTCTTTGAATTTTTCACTTAAATTTTACAAATTTTAAACTTTGAAAAATAGGGGCACCCCTAGACTATATATGTTACGGAAATAAAATATAAATTATTGAGAAATAAAACGCGTAGTAAATCCGAAAATATTAGTTTCATTTGAAATATAAATTATTTCTCAATCAACTTTTCATTAAAGAGAAGGTTGGTTAAAACATTACTTATCGTTATTCAATACAAATAATGATGCAAAATCCAGTACAAATGATGAAGCAGAAAAAAATGGACATTACATCCTGTTGGGTTTTATATATTAATAATATAATTTTTCATCTCAAACACTGATATTAACTATGCTGTGTCAATGATAAATGATAGCAAACACGACCATCGTAAAAATAAATTGTTGAACTAAAGCTATGAACTTCACATTAATATTTATCAAGCTTTTGGCTTACATAACTTACTTACCATTAATATTCGTCAATTAACATCTTAAAAGAAAAAATTATATCTACCCTGTTAATAAATTTAAGACTTATGAAAAGTGTATAAGTGATATTTTGAAATTATTACATGTAGTCTTCAACACTATATTTAGATTATAATAGCCACCCGAGTCGACCTCAACTGTATATTATATAAACATAACTCGTTGGTCCGTTACCTTAAATCTCTGTGTACCTGTGGGTGCTGTAGCGTATGGTATTCCATTGAATACGAATATATCCTTCTGGGGATCCTTGTATCCTCGAACTAGCCCCGAGTTTATTTGAACCAAGAGTGATTCACGATCCTTAACATCTTCAGCTAAGACTGAGGCAAGCAAGATTGATAACAAAACAACACACGACCGCATTATGTAAATAATAACATCACACTGCTCACTGTTACCTAGTGACTCAATATTAAATTGGACTACAATTGAAATACATAATCAGACAATTTAAAATAACAAATGAAATCTTCAATGATAGCAGTAAGATTACACTATTGATAAAAATGGTCTGCATTATTCATACATATCTTTGTTATTATAATTTTTTAGAATCTATCGTATTATATAAATATATATTGCTTATACATATTTTAAAACTTTTTAAAAATAAAATCTGTGTCATTATCCTCATTCATCGATTCCTAATTAAATTAACATACAGTTATTGTACAAATAAATATGTATTTGGATATGTTTATCATTTGTATAAAAATTTTTTAAATTACTACCGAAACATTCAAGCAAGAAGCAAGAATTTAGACTAATAATAATCTTACAAACTAGATGCAAATATAATTTATCCAATTTGTAAAAAACAACAAAGATTCTTGAATAACAACACAACACATATACATTATATAGGAATGTCCTTACTTAGTCAGTGGTTGCCTAGTGGTTAAAGGGCCCCCCTCTCGTTCCGGTTCAAACCTGGCAAGTACCAATGTGATTTTTCGAAGTCATATGTACTTTCTGAGAGTATTTAGATACCATGGACATACGGTGAAGGAAAACATCGCGAGGAAACCTGGACTTATAGTTTCACAATTATAAGTTTGAAATCACCAACCCGTCTTGAGCAAGCGTGGTGATTAATGCTCAAACCTTCACCATGAGTGAAAGAGACCTTTGCTCAGCAGTGGTCTCTGATAGGCTAAAAAAATACACCACCTTCGGCAGACAAAGATATGAGATTTTTAAATGTAAATTAGTTTCTCGGATACTCGTACATAATCACGAGAACGGGTACTATGTAAGAACCCAAACATCACGTAATTGGTGGATTACCAAATTAAACAAATAAATTTGCCTCGATGCCAATTAAAAGTAACAAGATCCAAGCAATAATATTGTAATATTATTATTATGTTATTGTGATCACGAACATTAGATTTTACATTTTTAAGAAGGGTATCCCAGGAGTTTGATAGATTCCAGCCATCATATCTATTGAAATTGGTATATTTTTTTAATTTAAATAGCCTTGCCGATTAACCTTAGTAAATATACCTGTCTCCACGAGCGAGGATATGTTTTTGATCAAACCGAATGTAATGGCCTGATTTGTACAATGTGTGTTCACACACTGCTGACTTCAGTGCGCGAAGATTATATTGATATCCGAGATGTGTTATTTAACCCTTGTATCGAAACTTCTCTTTGTCTGTCCAATGTATAACAAGCCACAGTCACAATCAAGTTTGTACACACCCACTTGTTGTAAAGGAATGGTGCTCTTAATTGGTCTCAAGAATTGGGGCCATTTCTTGTGTTGTTTATATATAATTTTGATTGAAACCTTCTTTCAAGATGTTACCTATCCTGTCAGTAACTCCATTCATAATGGTAGTTTCGCAGGTTGTCGCTCAACTGTGGGTGGCTTCAAGTTGTTCTTACAGTGCAGGTGAGGACATAAATAACAAGACCAACTGACAGACTACTGAAAGTAGTTGAAAAGTCTGCAGTACGTAGTTTTTTTTACAAAAAAAGCACGTACAATTTATATTACATTTGTTAAAATTTTGTACGTTACTTATTACACCTTTAATTTTTAGCATGTTATTTGAAATTAATTTCTCATCATACTGTTATAAAATTCAACGCTTACTGCAAAGTTCTAAGAGCAATGCTTCGCTCTCTCGACATGTGTTTTCAGACTGATTCAGAATCGTTATCAAAAACGAATATTTCTATAAATAGACCTGATAGTTGTAGTTTCGTTATGCAGCTTTGTAGTTCGAATGAAGCGTTATAGCGTTATAACAGAAAAATATTCAACACAATTAAACATTCTTTCTCCTCATTTTAAATTTAGCTGTCACAAATTTAATGTATGTATTTTTATCCCAGCAGTACCTGTGAATTCTATATATTTTTTAAAATATCGGATGATTCATTTATACCAGATATGGTGGCATTAAGTCTTTGTGATAGTTATATCATATTCGACAAATAAGTGATTCATTATCGATATCAAAGTTATGATAATGTTGATATGTAAATAAAACAATTTTTTTGTGATATTTTAAGATTTATATAACGAATAATCTCTAAGTGTATAGGGTTTACAATCAAAGTATTGCGAGCTGTAGCTATTTTTCCTTATTTATTCAATATTAACATATAATCATTGTATATTTTTTGTTATAGTCATACATATATCAAAATACTGATATACAAAATATCATCAAACCGGAAATAGGTAAATGTTCCTATTTCTACATACTTAAGATTGGCTTATCATTAAAGATAAAATATTTTTATATAAACGAGTAAACATATAATTCAGTAATTTAAAACTACTTGTTAATAATCATAATTTGCATGGTTAGAGATTGTCTCGACCATTGGTAGGAATGTTTTCAAAGAAGCATTCTTTATCTTCAATGTAGTAAATAATAATTAGACATTAATTAATATATATTTATATATAATTAAAATAACAAAATATCGTTAAGACTATTTAGAAATGACCGAATTAAACTAAAAGTTACATAAAAGAATTACTTATTTAAAAATAATATATATTTGTCAATCTATAATATCCATATCAAAATTATCTTTAGGAAATGCTTATATTTTATAAACATTTGTACAAAATCTAAAAAAATATGTTTGGTATTGTGTTATCAACAATTTGATACCAAATAGTTGAATTGATTTTTAAGGAATTATTTGTATTTCTTTCAGACAAACTTTGTAAACGTTTTGTACAAGACACAATTGATTGTCCCCCTTTCGTCCAGAAGCGTTAAACGTTAAACGTTAAACCAATCTTGTTACATAGAAGTTGCATTTAAGAAGTTTTACTTCAAAAGTATAATATAATAATAATATTTTTTATTAACAATTTTTTCGAGGTTATGATAAAAATGTCTATGTTGAATCATTATTCTTTCATTAATTTTGAATATTTTGCTTCTTCTAAAGCAGTTTACATGACTTGATTAGACGAGAACGTTGCTCATAATGATAAATAAGAAAGGTATTAGGTATCACTATAACTAGAACAAATTTCATTACTGTTCTGTTTTGTACCTTCTCACATATCTTGACTCTGACTACAAAGTCAGTATAACTATTTATTTACAACTAGGAGGCAGTTGCAGCATGTATGTGGAGAAAATTTATTTTGTTGTCCTCTACGTTGAGGTATGGCACGAAGTCTTGGGGCAAATTGTTAGGAGGATGAATAATATAATACTTTCCTATATCTAGGGTGAACAGGAGTCATATTTATAATAGTAATCATAAAAGTAATAATATTAATAGGTTCGATACGTTTTATCTGAAAGAATTACAGTTGTTTAAACATTGTTTAAAACTGTAACTTCTTAATGGGAAGTGTTTCCATTGTACACTCCATCTCATGCTTTTAGATTTTTCTTTTACTATTTTATATTATGTCTATTTCAAGCTGTAATTGTGAAACGTTTATACGTTATTAAATTAATTGTATATAGTTAATAGTAGAAAGGAAAGAAAAAACCTTTTTTTAAATTTTCATATGTGGATAAAAGCCAAAGAAAGAATGATTTAATGGCATATAAGAAAAATATGTAAAATTTTGTAACGTATACATATTTAAATCGTTAATGATCATTTACAATATCAACTTTTATGATAATAATCGAACTAAATTCATTATTCTTTGAATTATTTGAAAATTTAGACGTATTAAATTTAAGTGTCGTAAATCCTGATACAGTCGATTACGATTAAGTAAACGTTTGATACCGTGTGGTTAGTGTATCATCACTTCTCACACAATGCGGGTCTTTGCTATATTTTTATCAGCCTTGATTGCTTCAGTTTCCTCTGAAGATATCAAGGATCGTGAGTCATTATTAGTTCAAATTAGCTCTGGTCTCGTTAGAGGGTATAAGGATATCCACGATGATGTCTTCGTGTTCAATGGAATACCATACGCTACAGCACCGACTGGGACAGAAAGATTTAAGGTAAAAGATCAATGAACTCTTATTTGTCTAGTAACAGTAAGTGTTTGGCAACTACACTTAAATTACTTGAAAAAAAATATCCAGTCCAGTACATTCCAGAACATCAATTGGAAAATATTTTGTATATATATATACAAAATATTAGAAATATATATACAAAATATTACAAAATATTAGAAATTATTATAAAAGAAATTAATATATATATAAAAGAAATTAATATATATATATATATTAATTTCTTTGTAAGCTCTACTTTTAAAACATATATTCAAGTATTATGCCACGCTCTTCAAGAAAAAAAAAAACAAATTACTTTCCTTTCCTTACCACTGCTTTTAAATGTCCGAAAACTTCGATATAAAGCTTAATATATAAAAATAATAAGTTCTTTATTTGAGCTGTGATATAATAATTAATTGTTACTGAGACTTGGTTATTGTCAATTTTATAAGTGCGATCGTATAACTGGTTCTCTCTAACTGTTATTAAATTGGTGGGGTCGTAGATTTAGCAGTTCGGAACTGAGGACTTCAATAATCATATACAATTTATAGGGGAAAGTAAAAATGGAACTGATCAACACGGTTTTGATCTACTACAACTAAATTGTTCGCTTTTGTTACTGACTCAATTGATGAAGTTAATAGGGAAACGCAGGTACATATACGAACTTGATATTTGTTCAAGATTTTTAGAAATCACATGTTACTTATTAAAAAAAGTTAGTTTATATGGAAGAACTGAAACATTAAAAGTGATGCTCGTCCTATTTTAATAACAGTTCTTCATTGTAATGTTAGATGGCTTTTATTGGAAACCATTAATTGCTCATTCCAGGGTACACCAAGGATGGATCTTGGGATCACCTTT